TGTGTGTGAAAGAGAGAGAAAGAGCGCATGCGTGCATCGACGTCCATGACTGCTTGCTTTAAACTGAATGAGGACATGAATGATGACACGTGTCAAGCGCGCTGCATGATGAACGTGACTGTCTGGTGCGTGACTGCACTGCTGTGTGTGTGTGTGTGTGTGTGTGTGTGTGTGTGTGAGAGAGATAAAGAGAGCCCGCCTTCAGTCTGACACTTTCGGGGCTCTTGAAGCGACCAAAAAAAATGTGTTTGCCTCGATACTTCATTTAACAGCTGCCATTTCAACTCCCACACTGCTATTATATTGGCAGCACACACACACACACACACACACACACACCTACACACACACAAAGAGCTGTTAGCAGCAGTGTTAAAGAGTGATGGTCGCTCAATAGATGCAGTGTTGAGGTCTGATAAAGGACCATTTATGCTTCCCTTAAAGCGAATATTGAGCTCTCAGAAGCACCTTTACATTGGTGCAAGGTTCTGGCTGTTTGTTTGAGTCTCTTCGTTCAGCAGATATTGTTGTTGCTCCTGTGAAAAAGTCATGTCAATAAAAACAAGAAGAGTGCCAAAGGTGCTTAGAAGATACACGCTAAGTTTTGGGAGATAGAGAGACTTTAAATCATATTTACTTCTTTTACACGCTCTTCTACTCCTCTCTTTAGCTCTTAAACTTCCCTCGTACACGGTTCTATTACACAGATTTTCAGTGTAAAGGCACTGACCTTCGCTTTCTTTGCTCTTGGTTCTTTGGAAAGTTTGCAGCCCTCAGTTAAAACTGATGCCGGTGCTGCTGCAGGTTGAACAGAACAGGTGACTCACATTGGATAAAAGCCTCGGCCAAAGCATCTGGAACATAAACACAAATATCTGTGTGTGTTGTTGCGTTGCAGGCAGGAGTGTAAGAAGCTACGCGAGGAGCTGAGAGAGGAGCACGAGGAGGACAAGGCGTCAGCATTGGCTCAGCTGGCACAAAGCAAGGAGCAGGAAATGAGCAACGCCAGGGAGAGCTGGCAGAGGAAAGTGGAGGACCTGCTGGAACAGGTACGACCGCTGCTGTTAACTGCGTGGAGAAGGATAAAATCACACCACGATGAAATGTTTTTGGTGTTTTATACCGTTTACAAAACTCTTAAAGGAGAAATAATGTCCAAATAGTCCTGAATATAGAGGACATTAAGTGGTAGCAGCCCCATTAACTGGTTAAAGATTGTTTTAATGTTCAACTTGGGCTGCTGATGTCTGAACACAAAATACCAGATACATACAGCCTGTAGTTGAATGGCTGTAATTATACAAGTAGTAAAAAAAATCAATAGGGAGGGAGAGAGAGGAAGAGAAAGGCAATAAGAGCAACTGCCTCTCTTCTAAAGCTTCTGTTGCCCCTATGAGTAAGACCTCCTGTCTGAGCCAGACTGACTTATTTCTTCCTCGCACTGGTGGACAAATTCACTCACACATTCATTATTTCCTGCTGCGGTAAATACAGCAGAGCAGGCTGCCGTTGCTAATGACCGCCCGGTAATATTAATGCAGCGTGACCAAGCTCTCCCGTGGTCATCGCACGCCCAGACAAACCGTGTCGATGGCTTTATTTATGCTCATCTCTGCATGCCGCGTTCAATCGGTGCTGTCGGTTGCCGTCGCATCTGTGCTGTCCATCAGCTCCTATCTGGTGATTAAAGCGTCCGCTTCACGCCTCGCAATCAGCAGAACCGTACTTATTTTGTCAAACTCAGAGCAGCGGTCAGTCTCGTCTCTGACTGAAGATGCTGTTTGGAAATCAAATGATGGTGCAGACTCTTTCTATCATATCAGTGCCGGAGGAGGCCTTCATACGTGGGCATTAACTTTTATAGAATATGACTTTACTTTTGCTCACGTAGGTTTTCAAAAGTACAACTACAGCAGACGTGTCTCAGCATTTAAATAGGCCCAAAGCCATGTGTGCACCTCTTCATCTTCAGCTAGGACTTTAGAAGAAGGGCATGTTTTTGGTGTTACCCAGTACAATTTCAAGCAGGTTTGGTAATAAAAGCCCCAGAGTACAGAATATATAACCATACGCTTGTGTTAATAAAGCTATCCAACACTATGACACATTGTATGATTCATGTCTTAGTCATAATATCATTTCCAAACGTGGGCCGCAGCTATTGAGACTAAGCTGCGCTGGCTTCTGTTTTTGCTCCACTGAGGATCCTTCTTTGCTGCGCGTGGTAATCCCATGTATGACGATCTGTAAGTTGATCCAGAAGGTGATGAATTCATCAACATAGATTCCAACTGTGTTTCAACACATTAATCATTTATGATTTAAGGCCCAGCTGGTCTCACCTGTGCTCAAAGTTACAGAATTTATTTCAGCTTTCTTCCTGTCAGTTTGCTCCGAGGAACTTTTGGTAAAGCTGACAAGGTTATCGTCCCCGGGCAAGAGTAACTTTGCATCCTGCCAACAAGTGTTGCTGTTTCTAGACAGAGAGGACAAGTGTGATCTTCACACAGCAGCTGGTTGACCTTTCGGTAGCACATCATAGGTCGCCCAAATCATGGATGTAATCCTCCCTACTCACATTAAGCCTCTTTATCTAATTTGCTTTATTGGCATGACCACAGTTAAACACAAAACTGCCAAAGCAGTGTGTCCAAGGTTGTATTTTCTTTCTGCTATCTGTCCCAAACATTCATTGTCTTGAGCTGTCTAGACAGACTAATTTGGTAAATCATGCTGCTTTCTCCCAACAATGAATTATGCTGCTGCATTCGCTGCACTACAGCGTTAGCAGAATTTTTATAATGCACTGCTGTGAATTACAAACAGTTTGTTTACAAAAAGTATAAAACTTTATTGCTCGAGGCTTTAAAGAATTACAAACATCTTAACACGGCAACATTTGTTTAAAGCTAATTGATTTCCCCTCCCTCTTTGCCCTTCTCTGTTGTTCTGCTACATAAAGATGCTGCTCCCCAGAGACACCCTAAACTTCCTTATACTTCTGCCTCTGCCTGTTTATTCTTCTCCCTAGATCTCCCTGTTGAAGCAGAGTCTGGAGATGCAGCTGTCCCAGTCGCAGTCGTCGCTGCAGCAGCTGCAGCACCAGTTCAGCCAGGAGAGGGAGCACCTGAGGATGCAGCTGGACGAGCTGCAGACGGAGCACCAGAGGCGACAGCAACGTCTGCAGGAGGTCCACTGCTGCTCCATGCAGGACATGGAGCACGCCCGGCAGAGGGACCTGAAGGTAGGTGGTGGCGAACATGCACACACTCACAAACGTACATACCGGTATGTAAACACATTGCTATGTTTCTTGGCCTGTATCAGTGCAATAGTGTGAAACTGTCAGCATGAACGTGTATTTATTGCTTCTGATGCACCTCCTCTTACATGAGTTACTAGAGCACGAGAGTCAAACTAAACAGGGACCAGTTTAAATGGATTTTTGAGGCGAGTACTAATAATGATATTTGCAAATTTAACCACGATATGTACAGAGTGGGAATTTTTACCGTTGAATTTATCACTGCCCTGGGGTAGGGTAAACCACTGGTTCTCAACCTGGGGGTCTGGACCCCCACTAGGGGTGGCTAAAGCTTCACAGGGGGCCGTGAAGCTTCCTGATTTTAAGGGGTGTTAGAAAGCTTTTAAAAATATATATATAAAACAGGCCTATATTTCAACAATTTATTTATCTCTGTGAAGAAAATGTAATGAAATTGTTATTTTTAAAGTTCAGATTATAATTTAAGGTATAAACTTCACAGGATGAAGACCTGAGAACAATCTTGAATTCACTATTTGGTTTTATTACACAGTTTATCAGTTCTTCTGTACTCTTATTGTTATGCATTTAATATCATTTAATGTAAAATGTCCATAGTCAAGGGGTCGTCAGTTTACTCAATGATAGAAAGGGGGTCACTTAAAGGTACATTGTGTAGGAAGCGAGATTCAATTGTCCTTGCTTCCAATAAAGGGGTGTATGCAGCGAAGGCTGGGGCCTGGAAGGGGCCTGGAGGTGAGCCACTTATCGAAGTTGTCTTTCCCGCGCCCATTACACCCAGCACTTGAGTGGTGGAATACTTCCAGTAATTTATCACAACACCTCGGTGACACATACACCCAACATTTCTCGAGGCTTCGCCCCAGCCTTCGCTCACACTTACACCAACCACCCAGCTCTGAAGCATACCAGGGCAACTGCCCTTCGACTTTAGACGGTCCATGATTTACTGTGGGGAAAGGCAGGGAACTTCTTTCTCCCTTCATTAGGCTCTTTTCCACTGGGAAAAGGCCTACCCCGCGATCGTTGACGCCTCGTTTTCTGAATACGCAGCGGTCACGTTGCCTTTTTAATTCCCTTTTTCGCTTTTCTTCCCCGACGATAATTCCTTGTCCGGTGGCTGCGGCATAAGTATGATCCTCCCATTATAAACTAAAGTGCAGTGGCAGACTTTCAAATGTGCCAGGGGCAGTGAACAAGCGCCCTCTCCACCTGAGTCTCGCTTCTTCGTTATAGCTGGTTTCAGTCACCGTGACGTTCCGGCGCCTGCGCAGGCGACATACTTGCGTTGTTCGGCAGCTGAACAGGTAGGAATAGTGCTGTATGTCCCTCTCCCGGCGATTTGTAGTTTTTCAAAATGGCGGAACGACATGGAATCATTTGCACACCCAGTGGACCTCTGACTCGCAATTGTATATAGAGGAACTCAGATCCAGAGGACAGACACATTCTCGCTACGAGATAAGTCAGATCCATTGGCTAGAGGTAACGTTACATCGCCCAACATGAGGACACATTTTGAATAAAGACATTGATTCTAGCAAATAAACAATACTTAAAATACTACACATTGTCCCGTTAGAGGAAAACGGTTGTGA